TAAAAAAAAAAAAAAAAAAAAAAAAAAAAAAAAAAAAAAAAGAACAAAGAAAGGAGAAAGGAGTGCAATGGACCTGTAGGAGAGACTGAAGACAGCGGGCTGGGCATGGTGGCTCACACCTGTAATACCAGCACTTTGGGAGGCGGATTGCCTGAGGTCAGGAGTTGAAGACCAGCTTGGCCAACATGGAGAAACCCTGTAGCTACTAAAAATGCAAAAATTAGCTGAGTGTGTCAGCGCATCCCTGTAGTCGCAGCTACTCCAGAGGCTGAGGCAGGAGAATCCCTTGAACCCGGGAAGTGGAGGTTGCAGTGAGCTGAGATCACGCCGCTGCACTCCAGCCTGGGCCACAGAGCGAGACTCCGTCTCAAAAAAACAAAACAAAACAAAAACTGAAGACAATAGGGAGAGTGGAAGTGAAGGCTGCCTAGGGTCAGCTTAGTGAGGGCTTGTAAGACACGGTGAGGAGTTTGGGTTTGCTTAGAAACTGCGTTGTTTTGTTTTTTTGAGACAGGGTCTCACGCTGTTACTCAGTCTGGAGTGCAGTGACATGATCATGGCTCACTGCAGCTTCAAACTCCCCAGGCTCAGGTGATCCTTCTACCTCAGCCTCCCGAGTAGATGGAACTATAGGTGCATGCCACAATGCCTCACTAATTTTTGTATTTTTTGTAGAGACAGGGTTTCCCCTTATTGCCCAGGCTGGTCTCAAACTCCTGAACTCAAGTGATCCACCAGCCTCAGCCTCCCAAAGTGCTGGGATTACAGGCAGAAACTGTTTGAGGGCAGTGTTTATAGTTGACACCTGTGGCATTCTGATTTGGGGTGCCTAAGAAGCACCTGGAGAGCCTGTTAAACAGCACCATATTCAGAGATTCTAATCAAGAAGACTGAGTGGGGTCAATTAATCTGCATTTTAACAAGCTTCTCAGGTGACTTAGTTAAAGATTGTCCTTTGGCCGTAATTTGAGAAACAGAACAGTCCTTCATTCCCCCTTGCAGCCTTGGATTCTGGGTTCTTGTCAGATGTTTGTCAGTTTTGATGAACATCAGATATAGTATCAAAGTGAGCATTACTCTAATACTAGAAGTCCTGTTTCTAGCTTAAATCAGAATTTAGGCCGGGCGCGGTGGTTCAAGCCTGTAATCCCAGCACTTTGGGAGGCCGAGGCGGGTGGATCACAAGGTCAAGAGATCGAGACCATCCTGGTCAACATGGTGAAACCCTGTCTCTACTAAAAATACAAAAAATTAGCCAGGTGTGGTGGTGTGTCCCTATACTCCCAGCTACTCGGGAGGCTGAGGCAGGAGGTGGAGGCTGCAGTGAGCAGAGATCGTGCCATTGCACTCCAGCCCAGGTGACAGTGTGAGAATCCGTCTCACAAAAAAAAGTCAGAATTTAAATCCTGCTATAGAAAGACATTTTTTGTACTGAAAACCATTTAGCAGTTTTAATTGGTGTTGTGGTATTGATTATAGGCTCTATAATCAAAACCTAGGTTCAAATCCCAGACCAGTTATGGAACTTTTCTAAGCCTTAGTTTCTTCATCTATAAAATGGGGATAGATAATAGGATCTACTGCATAGAATTATTGTGAAAATTAAATAAATTAATGCATGAAAGCACTTACCACAGTGCCTGAAACATGGTATAACTCTGATTAAATGATGACAAGCGTCATTATTTCCCTTGTAGTCCTCCTCTCCTAGCCATTCCCTCTGCTAGCTTCTTCCCCAACACTGAGTAATAGAAATAACTGGTGGCTGGGCACAGTGGCTCATGCCTGTAATCCCAACACTTTGGGAGGCCAAGGTGGGAGGATAGCTTGAGTCTAGGAGTTTGAGACCTCATCTCTACAAAAAAAAAATTTTTTTTTGAGACAAACTTTCACTATTGTTGCCCAGGCTGGAGTGCAATGATGAGATCTCCACTCCCTGCAACATTTACCTCCCAGGCTCGAGCGATTCTCCATCCTCAGCTTCCTGAGTAGCTGCGATTACAGGCATGTGCCACCATGCCCGGCTAATTTTCTGTATTTTTAGTAGACACGGTGTTTCTTCATGTTTGTCAGGCCGGTCTTGAATCTCAACCTCAGATGATTTGCCTGCCCCGGCCTCCCAAAGTGCTGGGATTACAGGTGTGAGCCACCGAACCTGGCCAACATTTTTTTTTAATTAGCCAGGCACAGAGCATGCCTATAGTCCCAGCTACTTGGAAGGCTGAGGTGGGAGGATCACTTGAGCCCAGGAGGTTGAGGCTGCAGTGAGCTGTGATCATAGCATTGCACTTCAGCCTGGGCATCAGAGCAAGTTCCTGTATCAAAAAATGCCGGGCACAGTGGCTCATGCCTGTATTCCCAGCATTTTGGGAGGCCAAGGCGGGTGGATCTCCTGGAGACAGGAGTTCGAGACCAACCTGGCCAACATAGTGAAACCCTGTCTCTACTAAAAATACAAAAATTAGCCGGGTATGGTGGTACATGCCTGTAATTCTAGCTACTTGGCTGGCTAAGACAGGGAGAATCACTTGAACGAGGGAAGCAGAGGTTGCAGTGAGCAGAGATCATGCCATTGCAATCCAGCCTGGGTGACAGAGGAAGACTCGGTCTCAAAAAAAAAAAATCTTCCTTCCTCCACCCCTCCCTTCCTCCCCAGTGGCAGGGCAGCCAGTCAGGGAGAAGTCTTGCCTCCACAGACCTCTATCAGCATCTGTGTGGGAGAGGGTTTTCATTGAGACTCTTAGTCTTATCTGTCCCAATTTTGCTAACGCTAGGTCTAATTTATTTTAGGCCTTGGATTTGTGACTTCAGGTTAATTAATGAATTGATATAGTTGTGCCTCATGAGAACATAGGTCTCTTTATCTTAGATTATCTCCAGAAGGAGGTTGAGAAATCAGTAGAAACCAGGAAAATTTCTCAGAGGTGGTAGGAGAACAGGTGTCAGGACTGTCATCTTTTAAAAATTCCTTCTTTTTTTTTTTTTTTGAGACAGAGTCTGGCTGTCACCCAGGCTGGGGTGCAGTGATGCGATCTCAGTTGGCTGCAACCTCCACCTCCCAGGCTCAAGCAATCCTCTCTCCTTAGCCTCCCAAGTAGCTGGGACTATAAGCGCACGCCACCACGCCCAGCTAATTTTTGTATTTTTTTGTAGAGACGGGATTTAGCCATGTTGCCCAGGCTTACCTTGAACTTCTGGGCTCAAGTGGTCCGCCTGCCTTGGCCTCCCAAAGTGCTGGCATTACAGACATGAGCCACCACACCCGGCCAAAAACTCCTTATTTAGGAGGAAGCACAGCAACCATTCCTCATCACTTCTCCACTGGAGCAACTCACGCACCAGCACTCCACTGTTTGCTAGAACTTATGAGCAGGGAATGGCCAGGCTTGCAGAACCACCCTCCCTTCCACGGCCAGGCTTCAACTAGCGCATCTAGCAGTTATTTGTCAATATTATTTGTTGTTAGCTTAATTGTAGGAAAATTGAAAAGTGTAATGCATAGCCATGAAACCCTTAAGGCTAGTTAATCTTTTTGGATTGTAACCAATGTAATTTTTTATTAGCTGATTCCATCTTGATTATAATATGCAGAGCCCTGGAAAAGTTGCTGAAGGCTTCAAGTCATGGTGTGTGCAGGAAACAGGCAGCCTCCATCATCTGCATTTTCTACCAGGGAGAGAGAAAGGGCAGAGGGGGCTGAACGAAAATAATTGGGTTTGGGATGCCAGCAGGGAGAGGAGAGCAGTCTCCAGGATGGACACAGAAATGATCCTGGCAACCCGATGAGGATAGAGGCCAGGCCAAGCCAGGTTATGTTCGGTACCTTTATATGGTGGGGGTGCGGAGGCCAGCAGTGTGCTGAATGCTGAAATGAGAATATTTGAGTAAGGGCCATAAGCTCAGAATTAGGCTTTAGTAGAGGAAACCGAGACAAATCCAAAAGGCCAAAGAAAACATTTTCTTTCCATGAGCACTGGTTTATTTATGATTGTTTGGAGAGATCCTATTCTTCAGTTCAAGCATGGTGGCATCCAAAATCACAACTATAATTGTGACTTAGAATTTGGAATTTGGAGGCCGGATATGCTGGCTCATGCCTGTAATCCCAGCACTTTTGGAGGCTGAGGCAGGCAGATCACTTGAGGTCAGGAGTTCAAGACCAGACTGGCCAACATGGTAAAACCCCATCCCTACTAAAAATACAAAATCAGCTGGGTGTGGTAGCACATGCCTGTAGTCTCAGCTACTCAGGAGGCTGAGATAGGAGAATTACTTGATCCTGGGAAGCAGTGACCCAAGATGGCACCCTTGCACTATAGCCTGGGCGACAGAGCAAGACTGTCTCAAAACAAAACAAAACAAAAAGAATTTGGAATTTTTCCAGCACTTTGGGAGGCTGAGGTGGGCAGATCACTTGAGATTTGGAGTTTGAGACCAGTCTGGGCAACATGGCGAAACCCCGTCTCTACCAAAAATACTAAAAATTAGCCGGTGTGGTGGCGCACACCTCTGGTCCCAGCTACTTGGGAGGCTAAGGCAGGAGGTTCTCTTGAGCTCTGAAGGCAGAGGCTGCAGGGAGCCGAGATTGCACCGTTGCACTCCAACTTGGGTGACAAAGTGAGACCCTATCTCAAAAAAAAAAAAAAGAAGAATTTGGAATTTGTAAAGGATGACTGTAACAGTCTCTGGTACTTCTTCTCTGGACTTTGATTTTTCTTCACCAAAGAATGGGAAACAGACATTGTCATCCATTCTAACACTCCTCTCTTGACCCTGACATACGAAAGGGCTTTCTTCCCTGCTTTGACATCTCCAGAGAAGGAAGGAGTTTTGCCCACTCTTGAGTACCTCGTAATACCCAATCCAGGAATGAAACCCTTTTGAAAGGTGAGGCTGGGGACCAGGAGCACTGGGATCCTCCTGACACTTGACTTGTACCCTTTACTCCCAACCATAGACCCCCACAGATGAACCGGCAGCCTATTCTACATTTAATGGGGAGCCTAGAGGTAGCATGTGGGCATTTTTTTCTTAGCCCTTTTATGAATATAAATATTTAGTGCATGGTGTTTTGCAGAATTAAATCTCTCAGCCTAGATTAGCCTGGTAATATCATTATGTAGATGCCAGGGATGAGATACCTGTGACTGCTGTGTGTCTTCTCATTCAACGATGCCTGTGATGACTTGATGCACTTTAATTTGCCAGGGCAATCATTAATTGCATATGAAACAGTTGGTGTTTGGCTTTAAGGGAAGCTGATTGGGTCAGTCACTGAGTGTTTGGCTCAGTGATCTACAGCTGGCTCTTTGCTCCTGCACTCCTGCTTTCTTTTCAAAAGCATTCCCGCTCAGTGTTTTTGGGACCCCCTGAGGAAGAGGCCGTGAAACATTAGGGGTTTTCATCTGTGTTTTCCTTTGGGCATTATAGCTTTAATTTTAATATTTTGGATAATAAAGAATGATTTTAAATTAAATTTGCGATCTGCCATCTGTGATTCTTTGGACTCTTTCCTCCTCTCTGGCAGTTCTTTGACTTCATTTTTTCTGAACATTAGCAAAAGTAGGTTGAGGGCAGGAGGGGCAAGGGGCAGCAGAACAACAGGTCAGCCTGGGAGCTCAGAGGAATGGGACAAGGCTTTGATCCCTGGCCTCTGGCCCTGGAGGGTGGTGGAAAAGCTTGATGCCCAGAGTGAAAATCACAAAAGCCAACTCAGAAGTAATTGCAGCTGCCTGTTATGACCTCTTGATTTGGAGTCAAGAAAAGAATTTCCCAAGATTATACCTCAGTTTGCCCACCTGTTAAATAGAGAAGTGATTTTAAATAGAGAAGTAACCCCCTGAGTGCCATCGAATTTTTATTTTCTCTCTTTTTTTTTTTTGAGACAGTCTCACTCTGTTGCCCAGGCTGGAGTGCAGTGGTGCAATCTAGGCTCACTGCAACCTCCACCTCCTGGATTCAAGCAATTCTCTGTCTTAGCCTTCCAAGTAGCTGTGATTACAGGTGCCCACCACCATGCCCAGCTAAATTTTGTATTTTTAGTAGAGACAGGTTTCGCCATCTTGTCTAGGCTGTTCTTGAACTCCTGACCTCATGATCCACCCACCTCGGCCTCCCAAAGTGTTGGGATTACAGTTGTGAGCCACCACGCCTGGCCACCATTACACTTTTGATACAGTTTTTCATCCAAGGACAGCCTACTCAAAGCCAAGATATTATCATTATCCACCGAGGGCTAAAGGGTCTGAAGGCATATGTGTGTTTCCAGAGCTAGAGCTAAATCCGAGAAGTCTCTCCCTAAAAATGTGTTCCCTGTGTTGTCAGTGAAATCCAAGAAGCAGAATTTTCTACCTTTCTGAGAGAAGTGAGGACACATCATCATCACCACTGCAGACCATGGCATTAATGAGTCAGACAGCGCCACTGAACACACAGACAAATGCCGAGTGAATGCCAGAATAAAATGAAAAAGCACCTGCCAGCAGAGGGGCTGGGATGATGAGTGGGTTAGCTAGGGAAGGCGAGAGTGTGGGGCTTGCACAGCAAGGCAAGTAAGTCTCCCTCCTCTATTTAGTAGAAGGAGGCTTCTGGAAGAAGTCAGATTTGCATTTTGGGAGAGGGAGAGAGTTTGAGGTGCTGTCTAGGGAGAGTGTCCCTGGCAGAGCACAGGACCATCTAAGAAGCTTAAAGACAAGAAAGCGAGATGGTGATGGAGGCTAAGAGGGTGAGTGGAAGGAGTCAGGCCAGGGAGGGAGATAAAGCAGAGGATGAGCAATGCCACCTTAAATAATGCTTTCTGAAACACAAATGGGGCAGACAGAGAATACCAGATAGCTGCAGGAGGCCTTAAGTTATCTGTAGGTAGGAAGCTTTGCTAGCATCAGAGTCGTTTCCTTTGCATCTGCTGATTTCTCCACCTTCCCCCTCACCCCCGCAAATCCAGGTGGGGCTCCCAGCCATGTTCCTACATAGAGAAGGACCAAATTCATTATTCCACAGGTCAGAAGGCAAAGGTTCATCAAATGACATTGAAGGTTGGGGAGGCAATATTCATGGCTCCAGGCAGGATCGAAGCTCAGGTACACCAGTATTTATCATGTTTTTAAGACCTCACAATAGCATCCTTTGTCCCACATGACTAAGAGTAAGCTTGCAATCTCAATCAATCTATCTCTCTCTCTCTCTCTCCTCTGTTTTTCCCCCTCTTACACACACAAATACAGAGATTCTCTCTCTCCTGCTTCTTTTTCCTCTCTAAAATCCCTGGTTCTCCTAAATACAACCTTGGTATCCCCCCAGTAGTAGAAAACAACCCCAACAAGTGCCTATAAAAAAAGCCTTTAAGACTCATGAATATTTAGCTCGTCCTCATGTAAAATATATGACTTTGTGTAAGGATCAGGCGAACGAGGTGCATGATTTTTTTCTGATTTATGGGCCTAGAGACGGATTATTCATAGCAGAGCAGCTGTGTGGAAAGATTCATCCGCTGCAAAATGTGATTGTACATCAGGCAGTGTATGGGAACGGAGCTATGACTAATGGCTGCTTTACATATAAATGAGAAGGTTTGTGCTAGGAACTGTAAAAAAATACAATCACTCAGCTGACGGGCAGGCTCCTTATCCTGGGTACAGGAGAGGGACCACAGGAAAGGTAGGCAAACGAATGCTTCGCCCCACTCCGGAAAGCTGAGCCAGGTCGTAGTGAGAGTCAGGAAGCAGGAGACAGAGAAGGGGAGAAGTTTGGAGATGCAGCCGATTCTCCTGATCTGGCCATAGTCGATCTCTGAATTTATAACTCCATCTTCCAGGTCCCACTGTGACCTCTGAGAACCTGTCGGGGCAGAGATAGGGCCCAAGAGAAGAGGCTACATTGCCATCATATCCAGGGATGATGACCAGGCCCCAAACTCTCCAGGGCTTGGCATTGGGCTGCTGATAATTCGGGTCCATTTCAGAAGCCAGCACAGCAAGCCTTTGGGTAAATCTCTGAAGAGAAAAACTGTATAAATCTGAGACTTCTCTGCCACTCTTCGTGTCTCCCTCGCTTTCCCTCATTCGTCTCTCTTCTCTCTTGTAGCTGAGACAGGCTGTCTAGACATTGCAGATGTGGACAGATGTTGGGTCTGTAATTTATAACAACGGCCTCCAGAAGGCAATTCCAATTTGTTTCGGTAAGGCTTTGAGTTACAGGCAGAAAGAATATCCTGTAAATACCGTTGACTTACATGGTAACTACACCAAGGGTTTACTTAGTGAACAATCACTAACTACAGCATAATTACATATCCCTGCAGATTACCAGAAAATTTAGTGGCACCGTGCAGGCAATGACCACCAAATTGAGTTTCCGGCTTTAGGAGGGCCTGGAGAGCAAGGAGGTTGACCCACACTTAATAGAAATTATGCCTATTTCTTCAAATCATCAATTAGTCTCCATTTTGAGGGGCCTTGCAGTTTTATCTATACACTAGACACCCCCTCACCATCATACTGAACTCCCACCAGGGTGAATGCTGGTTGTTGCTTTTCACCAACGGAGTTTGAAACCATGCACTATCTGTAGGTACTCCTCAAATCCTCAGACAGCCCAGGATCCTGGAAAATTATCTTTGCTGTTATCATAATGGGTCATGCACTGAGCAGCAGTGCTGAGCTGCACTGATCCATCCTCACTCTCTCCTGGTGACCGATGACTAAACAGGTGTCCAGGCCAGCAGTAAAACTAACTGGCCCACCCAAGATCACGTTAATCCTCTTGAGGACTCTATTCTGATCTGGTGATGATAGTGAGAAATAGAAAGGTAAATTTCTACAATAGTATTCCAAGAAGTTTAGAAGCTTCTCGCTATCATCTGGGGTGGTGTGTGTGGAAGGGGAGCACAAGGCTGATATTAAGGTCAATATACAGAGAAGTTAAGCCATCTGATCATGATCAGAGACTGTTGGTAGCAGTGGCCCAATCTGCACTGGGGTCTGCCATCCCTGAGAACTCTGACCAGCTGGTCTCTTTGGGATTAGGGGATCAGAGTTGGCTGGCAGCTGGGGAGCTCAGGCTTCCCTAGATATATAGGGTTGCAACTGAAATAGCCATCAAGGTATCATGTATGTCGGTCTGGGCATGGAGAAAGTGAAGTGGGAATAAAGGGGTTAGGAAAATGTGAAAATCAAATTAACACATCAACAGGGTTGGATTCCAATTTCTAAGCCATCACCAACCTCTTCTAGTTTATTCGTTCCATGTAATCTTTCTTCACCCTCCTGCCTGTCCAAAGACAATCAAATAAAACTTAATCCTTTTTTTTTTTTTTTTTTTTGAGACGGAGTTTTACTCTTGTTGCCCAGGTTGGAATGCAGTGGCGT